GTTTCTGTGTGTGTGATATTAAATTGCTTTTGGAAGATCACCAATCTATTTTTTCTTACTGTTGAACTATTTGAAGTAAGATGGAGAGTTGGAGTACCGAGGTGAAATCCACCGGTACCGTGGGACTGGGTGTTGGAGGTAGTAGTGATATTTTTGGGTCTGGAATCATTACTACGATAAACTTGATGGTACAAATTATTTAGAGTGGGCACAATTAGCCAAGATGGCTATTGGTACCCATGGAAAAATAGGGTACATCACTAGGGAGGAGAAGAAACCTGATATAGATTCTTCCCGATGGGTGCAGGAGAATTACATGGTAATGTCCTGGCTGTGTAATTCTATGTTACCTCATATTGGAAAATTTTTTCCTATGGGCTAATACTGCTAAGGAGATTTGGGGTGGAGTGACTGAAACCTACTCTCGGAAGCAAAATGCAGCCAGAAACTATCAGTTTAGGAATCAGGTGATAAGTATAAAACAATGAGAAAAACCCCTTGTTGTGTATTTCTCCATGCTAAAAACCCTTTGGCAAGAAATAGATCACTTAGAAACTGTGATATGGGAAAGTGTAAATGATGCAACAACCTATCAAAGACTAGTAGAGAGAAATAGGGTTTTTGAATTCTTGGCAAGGTTGAACCCTGAATTTGACATTGCTAGGTAGCATATTCTTTCTAGGGAGGGTGTGACACTCTCTCAAGCCTATGCCTTTGTTTCTGGAGAGGAGAGTAGGAGGAATGTCATGTTAAGACAGCTTGGGATTGACCAGTCGGCTATGGTTAGTACAACCAAACCTAAGCCGAATGGAAACAGGGGGAGTAGTGAGACTAGAAGGGAAGATAAGGACTTGGCGTGTGATTATTGTAAGAAGCCTAAACATACCAAGGACACTTGTTGGAAGCTTCACCCGAATCTTATGCCTGCCCGGATAAGGAACCATAATGGAAATGCAAATGTGGCCCATTCATCAAAAAAAAAGCAAATGTGGCCACTACAGGAGACTCTTCGGCCCCTCTTTCCCAAACTGATTGGGAATCCATTGCAGTAGCAGCAGTGAGAACAGAACTGGAGAGGTTTGGACAGCTTATAAGTAAGAAAGATTCAACTAGCTCTGGCCTTCCAGATAGACAGCAGAATGGAGGAGTCAACTACACCACTTCTTATGCACATACAGGTAGTTCATATGCAACTTCAAATCTTGCATCCACTTCAGGTAAGGAGGGATCTCCTTGGATTATAGACTTAAAAGCATCTGAGCACATAACTAATTCCCCTATCCTTTTCAGTTCCTATCAGTTGTGATCTGGTAGAGATAGAGTCTCTACAGCAGATGGTTCACATATTCCCGTTGCTGGGAAGGGGACTGTTAGAGTGACCAATGATATAACTTTATCTTCTGTCTTACATGTCCCTAGACTTCATACCAACCTACTTTCTGTTAGTTCTTTGACAAAAAATTTGAATTGTTCAGTGACCTTTCTTCCTGGTAATTGTGTTTTGCAGGATCTGGAGTCAAAGAAGATGATTAGGAATGGTCGTGAGGTGAATGGAGTCTACCTTCTAGATGAGATTCAGAGACATCAGAGCCATCATGTTAGCAGCAACAGTAGTAGTGGGTTAGAGTCAGTGAACCAGATTATGCTTTGGCACAATCGCTTGGGACATCTTTCTTTTAGTTCTTTGAAATTTCTTTTCCCAAAGTTGTTTGAGTCTATTCAGTTATCTACATTGGAATGTGAGAGTTGTCAGTTAGGAAAGCATTGTAGACATTCTTTTAAACCAAGTAATAAAAGTACTTTGCTTTTAATATAGTTCACACTGATGTATGGGGGCCATATCATATCCCTTCCATGGGAGGATACCATTACTTTCTCTTGTTTGCGGATGATTATACACGGTATTCTTGGATATATTTGATGAGATCACGAAATGAGGTTCCTAACTTGGTAGGACAGTTCCACCAAATGGTTCTCACACAATTTGAAGTGAGAACTAAGGCCTTTAGATCAGATAATGCCAAAGAGTAGTTTGAGAAGGACTTCACCACATATTTCTTAGAACACRGTATAATTCATTAGACTAGTTGTGCATATACACCGCAACAGAATGGAGTAGTTGAGAGGAAAAACAGACACATTGTGGAGGTGGCAAGAAGTCTTATGGCGTGCGCTTCAGTTCCTACACATTTCTGGGGAGATGCAATTCTTACAGCCGTGCATTTGATTAACCGTGTTCCTTCACAGACTTTGGGGTTTAAGGTGCCATTTAGTCTTCTTTTTCCAGATGGGGAGATATTTCACATACCTCTGAGGGTTTTTGGTTGTGTTTCCTTTGTTCACATTCTTGGCCCCACCGTAAGAAATTGGATCCTAAGGCCAAGAAATGTGTTTTCCTTGGGTATGCTCAGAACCAAAAGGGGTATTGTTGTTATGACCCAGTGTCGAGGAGCAGATTTGTCACTATTGATGTTACCTTTTTTGAATCCACCTTCTTCTCGAGTGGTTCTCCTCAGGGGGAGAGTTTTGGGGAGGAGAACTTACAATATGTTCCTCTTCCTGTTTCTTTTGTGCCTCCATCAATTCCATCAGCACCTCCATCAGTTTCTTTGCCAGCACCTCCGTCAGTTTCATTACCTAAGCCACTATGGGCAGCCTCACAGAAATATCAGTGCTGGTAGACGATGGTTGATTCCACACATCCTCAACCCACACTACTCTTATCAGTCCTTCTGAAACTCCAGATTCAACAGATACAGTTCCAAGTATTCCTCTTGAGCCTAAGCCTGTTATGTTTTCTAATGATAATGTTCTTGTACCTAACACCATTGTTGCAGCTGATCCCACTGACCTTGATCTTCCCATTGCACTTCGCAAAGGGAAGAGAAAGCGTACAGCCCATTGCATTTCACACCATCTTTCCTACAGTGCCTTATCACCCTCCTACCGAGCTTTCCTTTCTTCCCTGGATTCTGTGTCTATGCCCAGGAATGTTACTGAGGCCCTCTCCAAACCTAAGTGGAAAACAGCCATGCAAGAAGAGATGGAAGCCTTGGTTAAAAACCAAACTTGGGAAATAGTTGATCTCCCCCTAGACAAAGAAATAGTCAGATGTAGATGGGTATTCACAATGAAGTATAGGGTCGATGGCAAGATAGAGAGGTACAAGGCAAGGTTGGTAGAAAAAGGGTATACTCAGACGTATAGTGTTGATTATCTGGAAACATTTGCACCGGTAGCTAAGATGAATTCAGTTCGTATTCTTTTATCTCTGGTAGCCACCTATTCATGGCCCTTGTTTCAGCTTGACGTTAAAAATGCTTTCCTCAATGGTGATTTACAGGAGGTATATATGGACATTCCAGCGGGCTTTTATGAAAATGTTGGTAAAGGAAAAGTGTGCAAACTCAAAAAATCTCTGTATGGCCTAAAGCAGTCACCTAGGGCTTGGTTTGACAGGTTCAAAGGGGCACTTATCCGTTTTGGATACACTCAAACCCAGTCTGATCACACCCTCTTTGTAAAGTGGAGTGATGCTCTAGTGTCAATTCTGATTGTGTATGTGGATGATATAGTGGTTACAGGAAATGATCTGGAGGAGATTGATGATCTCAAAAAACCATTGCAGCAAAAATTTGAGATCAAAGATCTTGGTGAGCTCAAATACTTCTTGGGGATTAAAGTTGCAAGATCTAAGCATGGGATCTTCATCTCATAGAGAAAGTATGTACTTGACCTACTACAGGAAACTAGGAAGTTGGGGACCAAACCAGCAGACACTCCTATTGATCCAAATCATAGAATTAATGCTATGGATGGTGAGCTGGTAAAAGATGTGGGGAGATATCAAAGAATGGTGGGCCGACTGCTATATTTGTGTATGACACGACCAGATATTTCTTATGTTGCCAGTGTTGTGAGTCAATACATGCATGCACCTCGGGTTCAGCAGTGGGAAGCTATTGAGAGAATACTTGCATATCTGAAAAAGCACCCTGACAGAGGCATTCTTTTCTCAAATCATGAAAATCTAAAGCTAGAATCCTATACAGATGCAAACTGGGCAGGATGCTTAGTTGACAGGAAGTCTACATCAAGAGTGTGTACCTTTGTAGGGTAGAAACTTGATCTTCTAGAAGAGTAAGAAGCAAGTGGTTGTGGCAAGGCCAAGCGTAGAAGTTGAGTATAGATCCATGGCTCATGGTGTCTCAGAACTTCTTTGGGTTAGATCTCTTTTGAGTGAGATTGGGGTGAAAGCAGAGGAACCTATGATGTTGTACTATGACAATCAGGCTGCAATCACTATTGTCCATAATCCAATTCAGCATGACAAGACAAAACACATTGAAGTTGATAGACACTTCATAAGAGAGGGTAACAGCCGGAGAAGTCTATTTGCCTTATGTCTCTTCAGAATTGCAGTTGGCTGATGTTCTCACTAAAGGGGTGGCAAAACAAGCTTAAACATGATCTACGCAAGTTGGGAATGTGTGACATTTACTCCCAACTTGAGAGGGAGTGTTGAAGATTAATCAGTTTTATGTTGTTTTTTTTTAGTAGATGTTTTATGTTAGTTGTTAGATAGGATGTGAGTCCAAAATTTATTATGTTTTTGAGTCTTATATATGTTGTCTTTGTACTGCTCTATTATTTTTAATATAAATAATAAGTGAAGGGGGCGACCAGATTATTTCTCTCTTTTCTTTTCAAGATCTCTTCTTCTCTTCTCCTTCTCTCTTCAAGAAATCACTTTTCTGTTCATATTTTTTATTTCAGCAGATTTCTACTATTCTAAATTTTTTTCGCCAGAATCAATAGGAGATGATGATAACTTTCAAATCATGCTACCAACTAAATAATCGAGGTCGCTCAGAAGCAGGATATCCAAAAAGTATAGTTCCACTAGATAACATGGAAGTGTCTCTTCCACTTAAAGACCAGAATTATGGTTTTGAAAAAATAGATTTTTCTTATGTGCATAAATGGGAAGGATTACTCACAGCATTGTAGACAATAATGTCTGGTTCTAACCGTGGGTCCCACTTCTCAAGCACCCCTGTTTTGAATTTCTTCTTGGGAGGAGATCGCATGCAATCAATCACATCAAAGAGTTCCTTCAAATGCCCCGCTTGTCCAAGAGTGACAGCAATACAATGATAAGCTGCAAGGTCGGGATACGAAGATAATTGTTGCTGGAAAAATATTAAAAATGCAGTTAGTCCATATTCTTACATTTCTCCTTCTATTACAGATATTTAAATAATACAAGCAAGCACAGTAACATCTATTACCAGCATTGCATGAAATACATTAAATGCCTCCACTGGTCTCCTTGCCTTGCCAAGCACATTAAGTGCAGCTGTATAAATATATCTGCATTACAAGGATAATAGTTACCAAGAGGGTAATAGTGCTGGTCAAAGACCAGAAATAGTAGAGAACTGAATTGATCATTGTAAAGGTACAAATCGGGTTGTTCATATTTCAGAGGATAGAATGCATAAATGAGTTTCCAAAATATGTTTCACATTGCATCTAATAATCATTTTCTACATTAATCATACGGTTTCTAATCAAATCACTGATTTGAATGGAAAATAACAATTCATGTTGAATACTTGATTTAATAGAAAAAGATTATTTAGTCCTTCCTCCTTTTACGTGCTTATACATTTAGGGGTAATGTTTTCCTTTTATTGGTAATCTTAAAGGCCTCAATCGAAAGAGGCTTACCATGCAAGGAAAAGCTTGGGTGGGAGACTGAGAGACAAAAACCCCCTCTATGTGAAGGTGAAGCAACACAGGCAACACAGCTCTAGTCTGCATCAAAAGGTCAGCATTCTACTTTTTTGTTTTCATTTCTGATGCTTTTCCCTTATTTGGTAGTAAATAAAAAGGAAAATTTTATTAACAAAAAGAAAAGTTACAGCTGATTTGATAATAAGAGATCACCACAAAAGAGAACAACCAACTCAGATAGCTTGTACAAAAGGGGAGTAAAAAAACAAAAAACACAAAAAAAAAGTAGAAGTAAGGACTCCAATCCAAATCAAGATCCCAAAATCCAGCACCATGATCTTCCCTTGAAACCCCTTCAAACTCCGGAAAATAATAACCCAATCCATCATCCTTTTCCCCACAAGTACGAGTGATTTGATCTCTTCTAAAGGCCTTGTTCTCAAGAATTCTTCTATTACTGTCCTTCCACACTACCCAGAAAACAACAAAAACGATGCAATTCCACACGATCTTTGCCTTGGCATTTCCTCTCATAACTGGCCAATGGGCAAAAATGTCTCCTAGAGATCTTGTTTCCATCCAACTAGCTTTAAAAATATTAAAGGAGAAACCCCAAACACATCTCATGTAGGGGCAGCCAACGAACAAATGAAGGACATTGTCCTCTGCATTCTCACACAAGTATCATCATCTAGCTAAGTGAATACCTCTACTTTGTATAAGGCCCAAAGTCAGGATACTGGCCAAAGCCGCTAACCAAGCAAAAGCTTCCACCCCTCTAGGAATGGGTTACCCCAAAGCTCCTTTATCGCAGACCTTTCTATTTCATTCATTAGCATTGCCTTGTAAAATGATTTGACTGAGAACAAACAATTTCTGGATTCTTTCCACCATCTTCAGTCTTTCCTTTCCACTTGCACTTCAGTTGATTGTAATTTTGGGAGTAATTCCACACATTCCCAAACTTAGCAATGAAAAAGAGATTTTCTGAATTTTGGCACCAACCAAGTTGTTCTACCTTGATTAACTTCGAAGTTCTCTGCCGCCGAACTGTTCTTACTAGTTACAAAATTATTGTGTGATAAAGAAAGGAAAGAAAAAGAAAAGAAAGGAAGAGAAGAGGAGAAGAAGAAGAGAAAAGTTTGTCAAGAGAATGAGGTGTGTTACTGTTCACACCAAGAAACTTGGTATTCGAACATAATGAAGAAATTTCAAAAATGCCCATAACTAGGCGCCCTAATATAAAAAAACATATAGAAGGAAAAAAATGCCCTTACAATATCAATGCTCCCTGTAGTCGAATAAGACTGTAATAAGTCCTAGTTTCAATATGAAATAAACAAAAATAAAAAAAGATTGAGAAGAGAGAAAGAAGGAGATGAAGAGAAAAGGACAAGAGAGACACGAAAAGGAGAATTCAGAAGTAGAGTGTTGACTTAGATTGTCGCCCCAGTCTATAATTTATATTAATGTTTAAATAAAGATGAAAGGGCTGAATTACCCTTACTGCTTACATGGCAAATAAATAAAAAAAGACTAAAAAGATAAACCGAAATAACTGTTAACTGCTGAACTGGATAAACATAAACATACGAACGGTGGGGACCACACTAGTGTTCTCTACACTCCCCCTCAAGCTAARCATAGATATTTATCATGCCCATCTTGCTCAAATTGTTGTCAAGTTTTGGCTTGGGAACACCTTTAGTAAGACAATCGGCCAACTGATCTTCAAACCTCACAAAAGGTAAACAAATCTCTCCACTTGCAACTCTTTCTCCAATTAAATGTCTGTCAACCTCTACATGCTTTGTACAATCATGCTAACAAGATTATGGACTATGTTAATAGCAGCTTGGTTGTCACCATATAACATGATTAGAGTATAAATTTGTACTCCCAACTCCATGAGCCATATCTCTGTACTTTGCCTCTGCACTAGATCAGACCACAGCAGATTGCTTCTTACTTCTCCAAGCTACAACATTACCACCAATCAAGGTACAGTAACCAGAAGTAGAGTGCCTATTATCATCAATTGAACCTGCCCAATCAGCACCAAAGTAGGTTCAACCTTGATATGCCCATGACAGAATACAACATTCCTTTTTCCCGGATACCCCCTTCAAAAAGGCAAGTTATCTATTCACTGCTTGCATATCAGAAGATCTGGACTTATGCATATATTGGCTGACTACACTCACAGCATATAGTATATCAGATCTAGGCAAACATAAGTAGAGAAGGTGACCAACAAGTCTCTGATACACACCTTTGTCAGGAAAAAACATCCCCAACATCAGCTCCCAACTTATGATTGGGATCAATAGGAGTTTCAGCTAGTTTACAATCCAATCTTCCTACTTCCTAAAGCAAATCAAGAACATAATTCCTTTGAGAAATATAAATGCCCCTTTTTGACCTTGTAACCTTAATCCCAAGGAAGTACCAAAGACTTTTTTTTTATCAGTAACGACAAAATTTATTAAGAATAAGAAACTTTAATTAAAATAGATGGGGAGATAAACTTTCTTAACTCCCCCATTTTGGCAAAACAAAAAATGCAAGATTAGAAATGACCCCAAAAGAAAGATCCCCTATTCACCCCTTGCTTGGCTAACCCATCAGCAACTGAGTTAGCAGTTCTCTTTACCCAACTATATTTCACCTCAATGTCCTTAGTCAGCAACTGAGTTAGCAGTTCTTTTCATTGTTGTAGTTCCAAACACCAGAGTTGTCTTCCTTTAGCCATCTCACCACCACCTCTGAGTCACCTTCAAACACCACTTTTCTTAGGTTCAGTTCCCTTGCTCTTTGGGCACCTTCCAGAGCCGCAAAGATCTCAGCCCTAAGAAAGTCTCCTTCTCCAATTGGGCCAAAAACAGAAGTACAAAAGACTTCAAAGATCCTTAATTTCAAATTCAATAGCAAGGAAAAACTTCAATTCAGCAATGCTTGAGATATCATCCCATGTGATAACAATATCTTTAATTTCTTCAAGCAGCAAACCTTTCCTTCACCTCCAGGGATATTCACTTCTAGAGGAAGATCCATATAAACTTCTTCCTGAAAGTCACCGTTAAGGAAGGCATTCTTAACATCCATTTGATACGAGGGACAAGAATAGTAGACAGCCAAAGACATAATAACTCGAATTGAGTTCATCTTAGCTACAAGAGCAAAGATTTCCTAATAATCAAATACCATAAGACTAAGTATACCCTTTTGCCACAAGGTGAGCTTTATACCTTTCAATCAAACCATCAGCTTTATGCTTCATAGTTTATACCCACTTACATCCAATAGGAAATTTACTTTCTGGGAGAGAAACAATGTCCCATGTTTGGTTTTCTTGAGGGCCTCCATTTCCTGATCCATAACATCCTTCCAATGAGAGAACTGCACCACCTCAATAACACTATGATGGATAAAAACAAATGAAATGATAGAGACATAGGCACAATAGGAAGGTGATAAAGTATCATAAGAAACATAGTTTGAGATAAGATATTTAGCACATGTCCTTTTCGYTTTACAAACTGCAATAGGGAGGTCAAGGTAAGAAATCACATTATGAAGCTCAGTAACAGATTCAACACAAGCATCAGAAACAAGAAGAGGTTCATGTTCCAAATTACCTAAGTCCAAGAAGTCAAATTGTAATGGACATTTAATCTCTGAAGTCATCCTCTTTTTCCATCTCACGAACCACCAGTGTCAAGACCAAGGAATAAGAGGAGGCACGGGAGGAACGCTACTACCACCACAAGCAAGAGGAGAAGAAGAGGGACCAACAATATCAGTTGTAACCAACACAGGAATAGACATGCAAAAAAGAGTCCGATCTTCACTAACATTCTCTTCCTGAAGAGAAGGATGAGAAAAGGAGAAGGGAGTAGACTCAAAGAATGTGACACCTTTGGACACATATCTCTTACTAGAACAAGGATCATAGCACTAGTACCCCTTTTGAACTAAACAATATCTCAAGAAGACACACTTGATAGACTTTGGGTCAAATTTCAATCTAGAAGGACCCCTGTCATGGACAAAACAAATACAACCAAAGACCTTAATAGGGAGATCAAAGGCATCCTCATTGGGAAAAAGAAGCTAATGAGGAGACTGGAGATGAAGGGCCCGCGAGGGAAGTCTATTAATAAGATATACAACTGTTTGGGCAGCATCCCCAAAACCGAGTTGGAAGTTTGGAACATGAATCTGGAATAACAATCCTCTAGCTACTTCAAACACATGTCTTCTTTTTCTTTTTGTTACCCCATTTTGTTGGAGTACGAGGACAGGAACTTTAATGGATTACCCCTTTCTCTTCAAGAAAAAACTTGTTAGTGCTTTTCAAAGTATTCCTTGGCATTATCAAATTTGATAATCTTAATCTCGTTCTCAAACTGGGTCTCCACCATACTAAAGAAGTTTTTAACAATTAAAGGTACTTCATCTCAACTCTTCATCAAATACAACTAAGTATACCGCAAGTAATCATCAATAAAAAAATGAAGCATTTGTAGACACCTATACAAGGAAAAGAATAAGATTCCTAAACATCAATATGTATATAGAAAAACAATATTACTTCTTTTGTTACTTGCAAAATATGTGGTTCTACATTTCTTTTATAGTTGACAAACTTCACAATGCAGACTAGGAAACAAAAACTTTAATGAACCAAATGACACATGCCCAAGACAGTGATGCCACAATTTCAACTGACTTAGTTTCTCATCATGACAAGACTCAAACTAACACATTAACCCAAACTTTAGAGATTGATTAAGAAGATATACTCCACCGGTTTCATGTCCATTGTCAATCATCTTCCCCATACTCAGATCCTAAAAGACAATGATAAGGGAAGAAGGTTATAGAACAATTATGAGGTTTGGTAAGGGACCTAACCAACAGTCTAAGCGGCATAGCCCACCTGACCCATCCTTACTTAAAGATTCACCGCCTAAAAAAACCTTTTCAGTACATGATCCCTTCATCCCTTTTTCTATCGAAATTACCAAATTGCCATTAATTGCCCCCACCCCTTCATCTTCCATAAAACTTTTTGAACCGACCCTATCATTCATCGTCTTCTCACTACCTTTGTTTTTTCCTCTTCCCAACTCCCTACCTCCTCCCATTCCTTTTTCTCCTCTTCAACATGGCGCCCAGGCCAACAAGTCAGCATCATCAACATCATCTTGGTTGCAGCAATTTCATGCGCTAATCTCAAGTTTCCTTTATAGGAAAGCCTATCTAGACACTTTAGCCTAGACCCTTTTCTTATTTGTGAGGTTTTCCACTTCTTTTAATTGGATGCTAATTGACTTGTCATGACCTTCTTAAGTCTCTTTAAGTGGGATAAAATTGTTACACACGGCACCCTAGAAGGCAAGTAGGGAGCTAGCTTACCACCTCCATTCTCTACAAAAGCCCATCTACAAGGAGATGAGACTAATGTTATTCTATAACTAAAGTTCCAGTAACAAGAGAGGCAAAGCAAGAAAAGATAAAAGATAAAAGGAAGCATGGCAAACCAAGGAAAAAGTCCATCTTAAGTCTATGAAGGTAGAAGAGAAGATGATCCTCCTCCATATCTTCACCATTATATCTTTATAACCTCCTTTACAAGGAGGGTTTATGTTTCTCCTTCTTGAAGAGGAGGTTTATGTTTCTCCTTTCTTCTACATAAGAAAACTTAATTCAATGTAAGGGAGAACCATCTACAACCTTGTTTATGAAATTTGATTGATTATGGTTCCTTATACAATATTAATTTAATCCTATGTGGAAGAGAAAACCATCTACAGCCTTGTTCATGAAATGGATGATTATGGTTTCCTACACAATGTTGATCTATAAGTAAAAATAAAATCTTGATCCTTTATAAGGGATGAAACCATCTATAGCCTTGTTCATGAAACCTGGCTGCTTATGGCCCCTTGCACCTTATTAATTTATACATAAAAAAAAAATTATTTCAGTGTACTCTTTATGGTTTCTCTTAAACTAAAGAGGGAATATACACCAGAACAGCAGAACCTTCAGTAGAAAAATTTATAATTAATTTATACTTAGTTTATCCTATTTGTTTACACTTCAAAATCAGAATAAAAAGATTTTCCAACCAGGTGAATTATGTTACACGAGAAATTCACCAAAATTTTTAATTTTTCCACTAACAAGCTGAACGAATAACAAAGACAATGTACTACCTACTCTTGTAGGATTTGAAACGCTCACGAGATTGAAGCCACTCTAGGACTTGTAGCACACGTCTCCAATTACCAAATGCACCCAATATCTGTACAACCCTCAAAATAGAATGATCTGTGAATCTAATTTTTGCACTTCGCATCATCTTAGAAAACAACCATTCAGGCAAATTGATGTCTGCACCATTCAACCTGTGAAAATAAAGTATTTTGAAGTGATTTGCCCTCAATCCAAGCCATTGTATCAACCTACTGCTCAGGTAAAATTATAAATAGATATAGTGGCAGGTCATTATTGTAGGAGAAATGCAGAGATGTCAAAGTTGATATTAGATCCAATAAGGCAGATGTAAAAAGAAAATGAGAATCAAATTTAATCAACAGTAGACTCAAGGGCCTATACAGACCATAATCATCCAATGGATGCTACCATCCATTCAAAGAACAATTTCGGGAAGATACTACAATTCTATGGCTGGATGTAGCCTAAGTAGTGTCAATGAGAATATTGCAATTACAAGGATGGAATCATAGCCCAATACGTTTTGAATTTGCTGATTCTTCAAGTATTTTTCTGTTTCAGAAGTATTTTCTTATTTAACTTTGTATCATGTGGCCCAACCTATGAGTCATTAATCTAGCTATATTTGAGTTCTGTTTATAGTTCCAAAATTATAGGATATGTAGAACATAAGTTATGATGTTTCTTTTTGGACTAAAGTTCCCTAGTGACAATTCTTAATTTGGGTGAACACAAACTTGAGCACCATGCCCTTATTTTTTGTGATTGGTAAGTGTTAGCTTTTATCCAATTATGGAAAAGAATGTAATTTTTGTACAATAGAAGTGTCAAGAACCCAGCAAACCTAATAGCCCCTGCTACCAACCTGAGTACACCCATTTATATTTTACAAAATTGTTTGCACATTGTTTATAATCCCCAAAAACACACAAACACTATTCAATCCTTGTTTGTCTAATGCATCATCCAGACTATTTCCTTCCCTTGGTGTCCACCCAATTATAGCCCTTAAGTTCCTCATTAATCTCCTGATATCCCTTGACATGTTCCTGTACCTCCAAGGTGCTAGATTGTGAGACTGGATGAGCTACACATTTTGTTGTTACAATGCAGGCTGAACTTCCATCTGCATTGTAACACGTTGCTCTTTTGGGAAGACACAAAAAAGTAACGGGAGGTGGGTTAACACTCCCATTATTTGTTTTTTTTTTCAAACAAAAATGAAAAGAAAAACATTTATCTTTCAACCCCCATGCCCTAAAAGTCTATAAAATTTTACCTTGTCCAAAACATTCCGCCCACACCCAAAAGCTCAAAGAGAAAAAACAACCAGTTATGTCTTCCATCCGATGAACATAGAACCTATTGAAACACTTCTCTTCCAACATTCTTGAAGTCCTCTACTGCCCAGGTATTTGTTTCTCCAATTATTTGTCTACCCATTGAGAAGTCGTTCCCTCTCTATTGTTCAAAATCTTCCTCCCAGCAACACAAACAACAAAAGACAAGTAGAGAGTATTCCCAGTTCCCACAAACAATAGTTATTATGGCTCATTCAAATAAGCCCATATACCTTAATAATTGAGCATGGAGACTTCGGATGCCTTTGACATCTCTAAAATCACATAGATTTCTTATATGGTATTAATCAGACCATATTAAACAATATGACACCAACTTCATAAATCTTGATAGTTTATTATGCCTCTTTCTCAAAACAAGCCCCTATGCCTTAATAATTGAGCATAGAGGCTTCAAATGTCTTTGAAGATCTCTAAAATCACATAGAGGCTTCAAATTTCTTATACCGTATTAACCAGACCGCAATAAACAATATCACGCCAATTCCATAATCCCTAATCGTTTGTTGTCTTTCTTGCTCAAAACAAGCCCCTATACTATAATAAATTATACATGAAGGCTTTGATTACCTTTGAAGATCTCTGAAATCTCAGAGATTTTTATATGATATCAAACTGTATTAGCTTTTATTAAAAAATCTTTATACTTTATATAGTATGTTGCACAATGGAGAGATTTCAACTAGTTGTACAAGGGTTCGACATTACTGCCGTAGGGGCAACCAGGCAAGAGGACTATAACAGTTGGTCAAGCAACTATTTATGAAGTTTTACCCTGTTCGAAACCTTCTGCCCTAAAAGTCTAAAACCCATTCAAAAAATAAGTTTCACCTTATTCAAATCCTTTCACCCAAGAACCTAGAGAGAGAGAGAGAGAACAATCAGTGTATGTCTTCCATCTGAAGAATAGAGGATATAGGACTAGCCAAAAACCTTCTTTTCTACCACCGTTCTTCAAGTCTTATTCCACCACCCACTCCAAATTCCATTTAGTTTTCTACCCATTGAGATGATCTCTTCATTGTTCAAAGTCTTCCTCCTTGAAACACAGACAGAGAGGACAAAGAATAGAGAGGACTTGCCGAAAAAGGCATTTTTTCATTTTTTTTGTTTGCAAAAAAGGAAAAAATGAGTGACGAGAATATTAACCCACCTCCTGTTACTTTTACACGTTTCCCCAAAAGAGCAACGTGTTACAACGTGGATGGAAGTTCAGCCCGCATTGTAACAACAAAACGTGTAGCCCATCCGAACTCGCTAGATTGTTGTCTTAAGCATTCCACAATAATGCATGAATCATCTTCCACTAATATGTCGATATAGTGTAGAGAATTTGCAAGCTCTAGGCCAACAAGTAGTGCTTGAGCCCCATGCTTTCTCCGTGTATGTCTTGCAAGTCATGATTTGGCTAAAAATAAAATGAAAGTATTTTCTTTTTAAACAATGCAACTCCCTGATGCCGAAGAGCAATTCAATGACAAGGTGCCCCCTGTTGGCTAGCCTCGCCTTGGCGCCTTGAAACTATGCTATTCCCAAATTGAAGAAGAAAAGGGCAGGAGATTAATAAGTGATAGCAATTCTCACCATTGAACCTACACATAGAACACCTATGTGGGGAAAGACACCAATTAATAAGTCATAGTGCTTGGGTTTGTACTCATACCTTTGGGGAGGTAGCATCCCGTGCCTCCTCCAAGGCTGTTTGTACTTCCCTTTTTTATCTCTTTAATAAAATTGCCTAATCATTCATAAAAAATAGTCACAAGTATTAATTCTTTCTTGGAGCACTTCCCAGCACAAGCCACCCACCCTATGTGAAATATTAAGTATCAGTAATATTCAGAAGAGGAACATTGCATATGCTAGTTGAGATCTTGGGGTGTGAGGTTAAACAGTTGCCATTGTAGTATCTAGGACTACCATTGAGAGGGAGTCCAAGATCAGAAGTCTTTTGGGAACCAGCGGAAGAGAGGTTTATGAAAAAATTGGCTCCATGGAAGAGAAATTACTTATCTTTAGTAGGGAGAATTACTCTGATTATGGAAACCTTAGATAACTACCAGTATATTTCCTATCAACCTTTAGGATCCCGGGTTGGATGGCCAGTCAGCTAAAGAAGTTGATGAGGGACTTTCTTTGGGAGCCTAGGGATGAAAAAAGAGACCATCTAGTAAAATGGGAACAAGTTAGCAAAACAAAGGAAAAGGGAGGACTAGGAATAGGGAACCTAATTCATAGGAACACATCTTTGTTAGGGAAATGGTTCTAGAGGTTTCCTTTTGGAAAGAGGCGTTGTGGCATAAAGTCATAGAGAGCATTCATGGGCTGATGAACAATGCATGTGATGCAAAAGTGACCAATTCCTCAACTTCAAGCTCTCCCTGGAAAGCAATACAAGAGGTGCCTTTATCAATCTTACTAAGTATGATGTGGAATGTGGATCTAGGGTACTGTTTTGGGAAGACCTTTGGCTAGCTGAAACTCCTCTCAGTTCTCTTTACCTTGACCTTTATTCAATGTTGGACTATAAGTTTCAACCTACCTCGTATTTTGTTACCTTTTCTTCATTAGGTTTAATTGGGATTTTGGGTTTAGGAGGGGGTTGAGGGATAATGAGAGTGAATCCCTTATTCAATTGGTAGACAATCTTCAGTCAGATTTTTTTATCCAATCTGTGGAGGACACCAGAGCTTAGCTTACCATTTCTGATGATATCTTCACTTATGCTTCTCTTAAATATTCTTGTGAAATCTCTTTCAGGGGAGGGGAGAGCTTCTTGTTAAAGAGATATGGGGTAAGCCCATTCCACCCAAAGTTCAAGCATTGTGTGGGGAGGTTTTTCTTAGCAAGGTGAACACTTGTGACATGCTTCAAAAAAGGAGGCAAAAACAAATGCCTTTCTCCTCATGTGTGCTTTCTTTGTTTTGCAAATAGTGAATCCGTACCCCATTTATTGCTTTGTTGTCCTATTGTGCTATTTGTTTGGGAGTGTCTTTTTGCTCTCTATTTGGGTGCAAGTGGAGCACTCCTCACGATGTAGTGAGTCTCTTCAGCCCAAATTACCTAAGGTAACCAACAAAAAGAGGAAGAGTGATGTGGAAGACAGTGAGGGCAGCAATGGTGTAGACTGTTTGGGAGGAAAGAAACACAAGGATCTTCAAATAGAAGTACATTCCAAAGGAAGATATTGTGGAAACTATAAAGATAAAAGTTGTACACTGGATAAAAACATTAGAGCTATTCAAAAGCTATTCGGTGTCTAACATAATGAGAGCATGGAATGATCTGTGAAGTGGCACACTTCTAATGTAAAAGAATAAAAAAAAGTGATGGAAGTGAAGCCCCTACCTAGCAATAAAATCGAGCTGAACTTTGATAGGAGATCTTTAGGAAACCCGAGACTAGCAGGTATTGGTGGTGTATTTAGATATTCCTCAAGTGAAGTGTTAGCAATGTATTCAAGCCCTTTAGGGGTTGGAGATTCTCTAAAGGTTGAGCTGTTAGCGCTGCTACAAAGTCTAAAACTTGCTAAGCAAGCAAATCTACAAAACTTGAAGGTTGAAGGGGACTCTAAATTGGTTCTCCTGGACTTGCCGAAAAATGTTTTTTCAGTTTTTTTTTGTTTGAAAAAAGGAAAAAAGAATGAGTAACGGGAGTATTAAACCTCCTGTTACTTACTTTTACACGTTTCCCCAAAAGAGTGACGTGTTACAACGTGGATGGAAGTTCAGCCCGCATTGTAACAACAAAATGTGTAGCCCATCCGAACTCGCTAGATTGTTGTCTTAAGCATTCCACAATAATGCATGAATCATCTTCCACTAATATGTCCATATAGTCTAGAGAATTTGCAAGCTTTAGGCCAACAAGTAGTGCTTGTGCCCCATGCTTTCTCCATGTATGTCTTGCAAGTCATGATTTGGCCAAAAAACAAAATGAAAGTATTTTCTTTTTAAGCAATGCAACTCACCAATTAATAAGCCATAGTACTTGGGTATGTACTCACACCTTTGTGGAGGTAGCATTTCGTGCCTCCTCCAAGGCTGTTTGTACTTCCCTTTTTTATCTCTTTAATAAAATTGCCTAATCATTCATCAAAAAAAAAAAAATCACAAGTATTAATTCTTTCTTTGAACACTTCCTAGCACAAACCACCCACCCTATGTGAAATAGGTTTACTCCACACTCCTCAAAAAGTCCTCCAAATTTCTTACTTCTACACACCACTTCCCACCTTACCCTATGATCCTTCTTCTCATTCCTTAGCTCCTATAAAAAATCCCTCATCAATTTCTCTTGCCTTCTACTTACCCCATCCGGAATCCTAAGGATTGGCAAAAAATAAACAGGCAGACTAGCTAAAGTAGATTTAATCAAAGTGATCCTTCTCCTAGGAACAAATAACTACTCTTCCACAAGGCCAATTTCTTAGTGAAGCAATCAAACACAGTGTTCCAAAAGTCACTACTCCTTGGATTATCCCCTAAAGGTAAACCCAAATAAGTCAAAGGCCACTGAGAAACCATACAAGCTCACGATTTCTTCACTTCAGTAATCTCCCTTTCCTCATATTCAATCCCGCCATGCAACTCTTATCAAAACTATTTTTTTTATTGGACATTTTCTCAAATAATTGCACAACCATCTTTAAATTCCTCACACATCCAAGATCACCCTTTTCATAAAAAGCGAAGTGTTTGTTGCCAAGTCAAGTGTTGAATCTGAATATAGGGCTATGAGCAACGAGACATGTGAATTGATATGGCTGAAATAGTTACTCCAAGAGTTAGGATTTCCAATGATCCTACCAATGCATTTAGATTGTGACAACAAAGCACCAATACATATAACTTCTAACCTAGCATTTCATGATGGAATGAAGCACGCTGACATAGATTTTTTAGGGAGAAGATCTAAAGTGGTGAAATGGACACTCCTTACATTAAGTCTGAACTCTGAAGATTAGTTGGAAAACTTGTTTACTAATGCTCTAAATAAATTAAGGCCAGAATTCATTGCTAATAAGCTGGGATTATATGACATATAGTACATATTTTCCAACTTGAGGAGTATCGAGAATGATTGGCAGATGGGTAGATATGTTTCTCTTACTCTTAGCATTTTATCTTTACTAGCAGAAAGGGCACATGCTACGCACATGTATCTAATGTGAAATAAAAATTATTAATATGAAAGATAAATTCCTAAAATAAAACCAAGAAGAAAAGTCATATAATAAAAAATTAATTTTTTTCATAATCCTAATGTACAAAGATTATTGCAACTTCAAAGTATAATTGATTACATGATAATTATTCTAATCAATAATACACAAAAAACAGAATTAGAGTGTTGATAATCACTTCCGTTACATTAAAAAAAATTAGGTATAATAAAGTAAAAAATAAAATGTAATAATGAATTGGGTAAGTAAGCATTATTTATCTTTTTACTTTTTACTTTCTCATAAAGTTTTCTCTTTGCAACTACAAAGGTAGAAATGGGTACCATATATCTAATATTAGGTTTTGATCAGTTTGCCATGCATAAAAATGCAGAAGATTCCCATTTTTGGAAGTAGATAGAATGTTAAACATTGAACCAATAATTAAACCCAATATGAAAATCACTTGAAATCCAAAACATAGGTCAACTCTAATGGATCAAGAAAAATCATTTTATAACTACAATTTATAACTTGAAAAATTCAACATGTTCAAAACAAGAGGATAGGAACAACCCAATAGGCAAAAAATTATTTTTTGGAGTTAGTTCATGTCCTTTAATCAGAAATGAAATCTAATATCATTTCCTCATCTGTTTATTCATCATGAATTTAAAGACCTATCTCATTCATCTTTCGGTTTGAGCAATAATCAATAATGGTCAATAATCAAGTAGGACTATGTAACCTATAGAGCTTAAGCGACAGCCAAAACATAAGTCAAAATAGTTTGAAATGTAAACTGATCAAATTCATCAACATCTGAATCCAATACGATTGATGAAAATTGAAATCCAAAATCGAGTCCAATCAAAAATCCAATTGTATTCAGATTTAATTTGAATCCACTTCAATTTTTAAAATAAAGAAAATTTTTAAAACTTATATATAAAATAAACTAATATAAATATGAAATGTTGAATTTGCCACATATAAATTTATATAGAACATAACAAAATATATTAAATTATATAGTTTTATATTTATATATAAGTAATATACTTAAATCAGTATATATTATAATATATGTATATATATAAATTATATAAATTATGTTATGTAAATTATATAAATTATATATATATATAAATTTCGTGTGTGTATATATATATATAAATTTCAAACCAATTGTTCACCTGACTATGTGATTCTAGGGGAGCTCACACCCTGAAAACTACTTCATTGCATTCTCAATGAATAAATTGGTGATCCCTTAGAATTAATACCCATCCTACAAAAAAATTACTGAGGAAAAAAATCACCTCAAAACCCATCAAAACAAAACATAACAACTCCAAAGAAATCCAGATTTATACGATATCAGCAGAAAAAGAAAATGATTTTAACCCCCATACTAACGATGACCTTTTAGCGTTCCAGCAGGAATAAAATCTAGAAATGCTAAACTTGTGATGAATTTCATTCCATTAACAAAATAAAAAACAATAGCAAAGCAAAAGACAAAAGATTCACATAAAAAGTCATAAATAGGAGAACTTGTAAAGAATCAAAACTGAAAAAACAAAAGAATTTTTGTTTCAGACATTCTTCTCTCTCTCTCTCTCTCTCTCTCTATCTGCTTTTGTTTCAGATTTCGGAGGAGATGGGGATGAGTAGATGAATTGGAAAAGGCATGCTCCTTTCTTATTCTTTCTTGAAAACTTCTCATTTAAAAAACAAATAAAAAATAATTTAAAGGTGTTACAAGGCCACCATTAATAAGTCAACGTGGCAATATAATATGCACTTTGGGCAGTCAAATTTTATCTATGACAGTCAATTCACAGCACACAACAATGTTTTGTCCAAATGGGACCCACAAGACCTATTTCATATTATTAGGAAGCCTGTAGGAAAGGCAGAAATTAGAAGATAGCCCTCTCAAGGACAGATATCCTGATCTGTTCGAGATAGCATTGGACAAGAATGCAACAGTGGAAAATTATTTGGAAATGCAGAATGGAATCTGTGTGTGGAATTCTCAGACCTCAATTGTGTAGAAACCTGAATGATTGGGAGGTAAACTCTCTCCTAAGTTTGCTGCAGACTTTATACAATGTCAGATTGAATGGAGCTTTGGAGGACAAAAGAAAATGGGGATTTGAAAACTCAGGAATTTTCTGTCAAATCTTTCTATAACAGCCTAACAAGGGAGGAGTTTTCTGTTTTCCCGGACAAGAAGATTTGGATAAGGAATGTCCCTTCAAAAGTGTCTTTTTTTGTGTGGTCAGTGGTGTTAGACAGAATTCAGTATAGAGAAAACCTAGTTAGAAGGGGCATTCAAGTGCAGGATGAAAGGTGTGTCTTGTGCAATAAAAGCACAGAAGCCTCTAATCATCCGCTGATCCACTGTGAGCTCACCCACTGGATTTGGGGGAAAATACTGGAATTGTTCGGGGTTAAGGAGTGTTTTCCTTCTGATGTGAAGAGTTTTTTGCTTGCTTGGTGGCTAAAGGGTCTAAGTGAGGCTGGAAGAGTTGCTTGGAACACTGTTCCTGCAGCCTTGTTCTGGGCAGTTTGGCGTGAAAGGAACCAGAGAATCTTCATAGGGCATCGCATTTCAAAGGAGGAATTTCTTAAAAATATTATGGGCGTGCTGTATTCGTGGTTGGCTAATCACCCACTTTTTAAATCTAGACATACAGTTTCTTTTTTTGACAAAGAGTTTATTTTTGGATAGTTTTATCTGTAAATGCCTAAAGGCTTAGTAGCTGTGTTTTGAGTTTTTGGGGTTTCCTTCAGTACAGTTTCCCTCATTGTACAGGGAATTGAGGCTGATTGTATATCTTCTTTCTTTTTGCGGTTTAATACAATACCTTACCTTTTTGAAAAAAAAAAAAAAAGTGGTCAGCCAGCAAAAGCTGTTACCTGACTTGCATTGGGACATGATCGATCTGCAAAAGCTAACCTCTAAGAAAAAAAGAATTTACAGGGGTAAACAAAAAAGCAAAGAGCGTTAAACTGTTCTTTTTATTATAGGTATATGGATTTATCCCTGTTTAGTACTTAATATTTCTTGTCTTTAGTTATTGTGGGGCATGGACAATTAAGTCTTTTATTATTGTAAAAGGCAGATTAGTCACTTTATAATTAATTAGTAAACAAGGGTACTGATGTATTTCATTATGGCAACTTGTTTTTGCACACTTTTTTCCTTCTGCTCCATGAACAAGTGATTCTTTTTCTTGTATGCCTTACAAATTCATCCTACACCCCAAATTCAGAATACTGTCTATAGGATCAACCTGTACTAGCAAATGTTTGCCTGGTGAAATGACACTATTCCAGTACAAATATGTGTAGGGAGTATTTGTAAAGCATACAAGAAAGCAATTATTGTTCATACATTGATCTCTAACAAAATCTTGTTTATTGTCCTTTCTAACAGAAAATAAATAAAAATAGAACTTAACTAGAATATATGCATACCATTTTGCAAGCTTCTGGATTCTCTCCTCCATTTCCATTCTTGAGACCCGTGACATGTCCCTGACATCTGTCAATGCCTCAAAAGACTTGAAGGCAGTCATTTCCATCTCCATACCGTTTTCATCAACATCCTCAGAAAAACCCCTACTGTCCCTTTTCAGCCTTGACTTTTTGCATGAAATGTGATATTCAGTATAGCCCTTGACTTGCATGTCATCTCTATCCATGGTTCCATTTGTCTTGGAATTTCTAAGACCAAGTTTCTCTGTTTCAGAGATATCATTTTCCAAGTTAACAAACCTTTGATTTCCATAAGACAACTTCCTTTCCAGCTTACCATTGGTAGTCCTAGAGTTATTAATCTTCGTCTCAACTTCATTATCATGCATATCTTTATTGCATTCAGTTTTTCCCTCCTTTCTTTCCATGTCAGTTATATAATAATTCCCACTGTTGATCAAGTTCAGATTATTATCAGACTCTTTTGGCTTCTTTGCAGCATCACTTCTACCAAATTCCAACTTTCCAGTATCATCCTTCCTATTTTGAACCATCTGCTTCTTCCCTGAGAAAAGATTATGGCTGACCTTTTGGATGGAACTGTGTCTCCAATAGCTTCTGTTTATGCCTTGCTCTTCCATGCTCTTATTGAACCTTATCTCCTCAAATTGTTGTTTTAAGCTACTAGGCTGGTCCTTTTTCCATCTTCCACTTGTTCCCTTTAAACTTCTTTCAAATTCATCTCCTCCGGATTCTCTATTAACCTTCAAATCCACATCATGTTTCCASTTATCCAATTCATCTTTATCTAATCCATCCAATTTACTTTGAGCCAAACCCTGATTATTTCTGATAATGCCCTCTCCTGAGACCTTGTCAGAGTTCAACTTACTCTTGTGCTTCAAACCTCTACTATCCTTTTTCTTGTAATTTAACCTGTCACCATCTAAACCTTCTCTACCAGACTTCTTAAATAATGCATTTCGTTTAATGGAGTAAACGCCCTTCATTTGGTGTTCATGCCCTTCGGAAGCATCCAACATTTTATTATCCTCATCATCCTCGGACATGAATTTTCTCGGAGTTTCTTTTCGTCTTGACTCATTTTTCAAATCATATTGACTGCCATCTTGAATCTCCTTAATATTCTTAACAGACTCCATAGCCTTCAAATATTCATCAAAAGTTGGCTGGAATCTGAACTCTTTCTCTAGAAACCCATCACTACTAGACCGATTCGTGGCCTCTCCCTCTGACAAAACATTCATAATTCTGCAACTGGATGCTCTCAAACTGAAAAGTTCAATACGACTCACTTTCTTGGTATTCAAAGCAACTTTGGAAATAGGTTTGCGAGAAACCGGAAACCCAAGTGACGAAGAAGGATTCTGGAAATAATTTAAGAAGAAAAGCCCACTTCCCTCCAAACTAGATACACCCATAAATCCACTAGTCACGATTACCTCCATTATACCAGTTTAAGCAACAAAAGATACAACATAACTCTGAGAAATGAACCTCGAACCCAACCACTTCCGTTGCAGTAAGAAATTTATTTGTCTCCAATCTTAACCAAATTAAGCCATTCTTCAACTGTTGGCTTAAATTTAAAATAAATTCGGCAAACTGAAATACAGAACAAAGAGAAGATACGCATATATACTGAATGGACAATGAAACGATAAGACTTACAGAGATTTGTTAGACCACTAGATGTATTCCACCGCGCAACCTCGACTAGAACTCTTGTGCGGACTGTCGACAGTGGACAGCAGAGACACGATGGTGCGTTTCTAGAATTCTAGTTTAAATGGATAACAGCAACAGGACAACGAATAGTGCTAGAGCTACTGTGCTGCATGCGTACGAAAATCTAAGGTGATGAGTTTGAAACCCACGTGCTTTAGTTACCCGTAGCCTTAGCATTCTTCAAAATAGGTTTGGGTCGGTGTATCATCGTTAACGCAACGGACCCATGTGTAAAAACTTAGGATCCGTTTGGTCGGCATGAATAGGGGTCCAGAATTGGAATCCAAATAGTCCATTTTAATTTCAACCGTTTAATTGGGCAGAATTAAAATCTAATTCCCAATTCTCGAATGGCAATTCCCTATTTGAGGGAATGATTATTCCCACCGGGTGCTCATTGTGGCCAATATTTGGTTGGTTTCTTAAAAACTCAAATTGAAACCGAAGTAGTCAACCAGTATTTTGAAACTGAATAGAACTAGTTGGTTTCTTAAAATCTCAAATCAAAACCTAACTAAAGTAGTCAGTTAACCCTTTAAACAGGGCAGAGTTAGGAAATTTTCATGAGAGGACAAAATCTAAAGTGAATTAGGGAGGAAGAGAGAATAAATATAAATGGGCGGCCCATAGGGGGGCTAACTATTATGTTGGGGAGTGGGGGAGGGGGGAAATTTAAATGGCAAACTATATTACTAGCGGAGGATTTTTAGACCATAGGGGGGGGCCATGGCCTAGGTCCCCCCTGGCTCCTCCCTTGCCTTTAAATGGTTAACCACTTATTAATTTTCAATTTTTTATTAATAAAAAAGATCCACTACAACTAGAACCAAAAACTAATTTTTTTTACAAATAGTTACTCTTATTTAGATATAAAAACACCAAAAAAAATACTCTTATCTTCACATAAAGAAGAATGAAAAAAAAAATAGAAGAGAAAGGAAAAATACAAACACCAAAACAATAAACAATAGGTTTTCAAAAATTAAAAAAAAAAGTTTAACAAGACTAAAAATAAAGAAAAAAGAGGGTGGTGTTTCTTACTTGTGAATTTGTAGTAGTGACATTAAAAAGAACTAGAGCCATGGTGCTTTTCCCTTTCTAATTTCGTTTTGGTTAGGAAACATTGGAAAAGTCACATCAAGGATGGAAAAAAAATGAAAAGTAGGAGTTTGAAATTAGGAAGGAGGATTTGGGACCTTGGCGGTGGGAACATTGTGTAAATGCTCATGCATAGGGTACTTGAATAGCTTACCTATGTAAAAACAAAGGGACAAGTGGATAGCAATCCACATCAGAAATCTGAAATTGCAGCCCCCTCCTAGTCTACTAGTAGCCCCCCTATAAATTGCATCCTACTCGTGAATTTGGCATCAATCCATGGGCAGGATTCATCTGACCTGTACGATAGAGGTCAGATTTCTGAGGTGGACTGAACTATAGCTAACTAGCACAAGACCGGATCTGCACCTCACACCTGGCGCCTCTCATACACATCCTGTCATGCATTGGGAACATCTCCCATACTTGTTAGTTATTATTCACAGGAGATGTTCTCAATGCATGGTGAATGTGCCTGTAAGGTGCCCATTTGTGAGGAGTAGATCCCGTCACAACTAGCATCAACTTTTTTTGGTAGATGCATTAATTGCAGCCTTGCATGTGGGTAGGTAAATATTTTCATTTAGCATAACCAAAAACTAGGTTTTTAACCAAAAAAAAAACGAACTGAAACTGAACCGATCGGTTTGGTTAACTAGATTTTTCAGTTCGTTTTTTCTTTATTCGGTTCAGTTTCTCGGTTTGTTGTAAGCACCCCCTACTCCTAACCCACCCCTCATGAATTAGAATCCCATTCCAGCCAATTAAAATAAGAAATAGGAAAATGACAAAAACTCCTTCCAACACTTCTCCTTAGTCTATTTCAAGTTTCCAAACCTTCCTTCCCTCCCTCCATCTCTCATTACACCCTCCATTGGTAGTTGAACTATGAACAATCAAGTTGAAGCTGAAACTTCAACAATGTAAATCATCGCCTCTCTCTCTTTATCTCTCTCCTCCTCCTCCTCCTTATTTTCTTACTCATTCTTTTTATCCTTCCTCTCTCGTTTTTCKGCTATAGTTGATCATACCACTAAGGCACCATTTTGAGTGCAGTCTCATCCCTACAACTATTAGCATTAACACCAAATCAAGGTATGACTTAACTTTGTTTTGAGTTTTCTTGTTTGTATTATCTTTGTTTGGTTTCACCTTTCTTTTTCTCTTTAATTTTTAAATCAGATCTCAACTTTGCTCTCGGTGGTAGGTTTCCAAAACTTATTTTAAAGGGTTACTAGGTTGTGGTGGTAGGTGAAATATGATGTTGTTCGATTCGAGGTGTTTCTTGAATCAAGATCGCAGTTAGGTAATCCTATCAATTAGGCCGGAGCCAAGGTGCAAGGACGAAGCTACGCAACAAGATCTAAAACCAAGAACAGAGTCAAAGGCCCGAGGAGTTATTCCCTGGGTAGGTACTTCGACACTCAAGTTAGTCGAGAATGGTAGGCAGTCGGGCCGAGCAATTGAGAGAACAGTGCTGGTCCGAGCAGAATAGCACTATGGATGCATGAAGTCCAAAATTCCCTTACCTCGAGTGGGGATTACCTACTTATAGTCGAAGATCCGTATCTGATTCGGATGAGGCTTCTAGGGTTGTTAGGAAGAGGTCATCCACCAAGGTCTTCGGAATAAGACCTAATCCTTGGTGAAATTGTCCTCCTTATCCGTATGACGCTCTCCTGTCTTGGTCACGCTTATCTAATGACGTGGTGCAGACGTGGCTGAGTTGATAAGGCGGCCGCAGAGGTGACACGTGACACCCGGGGCTAGCTCAGCCATAACCCAAACACCACTCCCCCAGTTCCGAAGTCAAGGAGAGTAGTGCTCGACTGTGGTGTGGTGTGGAAGAGCTCTTCGGTTATCGGTTGAGGAACTTGAATATGAAGTTGGTTGACGCATTGTCTGAACAGAGGGGCTTGATTGAACCAGTTTTCTGGGCGAATCTACCAGCTCAACACTCGTGTCATGCTGACGGAAGCGTCATTTCGCCTTCCTGAGGTAACACACATGCAGAGGTCAATGGCGTCATTCCATCTTCCCGAGTTGTCAAAGAGTGGTGTTTGATCTACATTATTGATCTGGATCGCCAGGGGCCCTATAAAAGGGGGTGAAGAGCATTCTTACTTTGTCATTTGTGAAGGAACACTTACAAAGCTCGGCAAGAAGTAGTCTTCGGCTCAGTGTTTGCTTCAGTTTTGCGGTCTTAACCTTTGAAGTTCGGTAAGATGTCTTCCTCGTCTATTGACTTCTCCCGCTCTTCTTCCTCTTCTTCTGCTTCCCTTTCTTGTAGTGAGTTTGAGTCAGGGTCTCTTGTCAAGGCTGCCGTGCTCAATACTCATGAAGCCGAGGTCGATGAGTTTGTAGGATTCGGTCCTAAGCGAGCTGCCGAGGCCGAGGGGGCTGAGGCGGGGCTGTCAACTAGGGAGGCCGACCTTCCTCCATGTGCTAGTCGTTGATTTGGGACTACTTCATGTTGTCTGACGCCCAGGGATGTAGCTCGAATCAAATCCTTGTACGACATTCCCGAGGAGTATGAGCTTAGGTGCCCGAGAGCTAGTAAGAAGCCTACTGATGCTTAGTCGAGCGAGCTCTATGTGTACGAGCACAGCTTGCTAACCGAGCTAAGGTTCCCTTTAAATGAAGGGGTTGTCGAGGTGTTGAGGTGGTACTAGGTACTGCCTGTTCAACTTATGCCTAATTCCTTTAGGTTCTTGGTCGGCCTCCTTTCTTACTACTTTGTCCATGACCTTAGATCACCCTGGGGATGGTTACCTATTTTCTCCAACTATAGCACCACTAGTAAGCATACTACTGTTTCTCGGCTCGGCAGCGCATCAAGGTGTTGGTCGAAGCACCCTAGTTGGTGAAGCACAAGAAGGAGAAATTCTTCTTTGTGCACTGTCCTGGAGGTACGCCTTTGTCGGCCGAGCTCCAGAAGTCGAGGACGAAAGTGAAGGTGCCCACGCTTGCCCAGCTTACCAAAGAGGAGAGGGCGTCGATAGGGATGATCAAGAACGTTAACGTAATGCATTGCACATCCTTATTGATGTCGGTTCATGCCGGACTGATGAGTGAGGCGGCCAGTCTATTTTTTGTGCTGACTTGGTGCTGATCTATTGTTTGTTTGGTGCAAGTGCTGAAATGGCGAGTAGAGAGAAGCTGACCCTCTGTAAGAGGGTTGCAGCTGATAGAGTGTGGTCTAGAGGGGCCCAAGGGACCCATCCCCAATCTGAAGAAGTGCAGCCGAGATCTATAGAGCACACTTCTCGGCAGCATAAGAGGTCGAGGAAAGCCAACGAAGAGGTCGTAATGGTTGACCCGGAAGAAGGCACCCAGGCCGTCCACCCCCTTCCCCATAGGACAACACACCAGAGGACGGAAATCAACTCATTTATGTGTCATAGTGGAACGTTCGGCCCAAGGACAGGCTTGAAAAAGGAGGGTTTTCCAGAGCAGCTTCTCTGGGGCTTGTTGACTCCGGCTATTAGGCGTGAACTCGGCAAGTCAAAGAGCAGGGATCTAGAGAGCGCGCTCGCGCTTCAGATTGCGTCGATAAGTCTTCTTACTTGATTTGGTCACTTTTGCTTTGGTTGGTTATTTCTATCGTGCTGACACTATTTCTTTTTGCAGAGTACTTGCTCGGTGATTGCAATGATTGAGCGCTTACGGGCAGTGCGGTGCCTTTATGAGTCAGGGTAAGCCGAGGTGGAGCGTTCGAGGTCTCAAGTGGTCGAGCTAGAGACCAAGAACGATGAGTTGAAACGCGACATTAACGAATAGAGCGACACCATTCATAAGTTGAAAGACCGCGCCACCAAGCTTAAGGGGGTGCGGGATTAGCTGAAGAGGGAGGCCAACGAGCGAGTGGCCCGGACCGAGGGAGAGGCGATCACCAAGTTCAAGGCCTTGGTGGAATACCAAAATGAGCTCAACGACTTTGC